AGGAAACTCAGCCCCATGCTGCAGAGAGGTAAGTAGTCAACACTTCTAGCAGCCCAGTCTTCTTCTCTAAACACAAACAGGCAGGAATATACTCCAGCCTCTCACCTTCCAGGCCAAAAGGAAGCAAAAATGATCCACTGCCGTCCACCTACCCACTCCCAAAAAGACTGAGAAGCAAGCCCCAAATATTCTCATATAGAGCTTCTAGTTCAGATCAATGCAGGCAGGGGGTTCTGAGATTTCTGGTCTCCGTAACATTTGTAACACTTTGTGTATGTTACATACTGGCACATTACCAGGACTTGAAAGAGCACCAGGAACTCATTAGCTACCCGGAAAATACTTACTGGGTGACTTAATGTGTTTAAATCTGTAAGACTCTCGCCGAGATCCAAGCATCTCAAAAACACTTGTTGTTTAAGGAGTATCACTTTCTATCAGCTGCTGATGAAGTCAGGCTCCCTGACATCACCTACTTTGTGGATAAATTCCACCTCATTGTACCTCAGTTTTAAACATAACATGTACAGTAATCAATGTCTGCAAATGGCAGAGTAATTTTTTTCTCTTATTCTAAAATTAAGTAGGAGACAGGTTGCAGACTGCAGGAGAAATGAGCTAGATGGTCCCTCTAGTGGCCTGGAAGCGCCAATACATGCCACCAAGGATCTAGTCTTCCCAGGGAATCAAGATCTAGTAACAGAGTCCCAAGCTGTGTGTCCTAGAGGAAGAAATGTTCCACATACAGAGGTTTATGTGACCCCGCTGTACCAGGAGAAAGAACCTCAAGGGTAGGATGTGTCACATCATCTAGTGACAACTGAGTAACTGGGTGTGCATTACACACGCACATCCCCACAGCACACAAACTGCCATGCTTCACAGTCACTAGGTGCAAAGAAATCAGTGTTTGCCTAAATACCTAAAGGTTATAAGCAAAACTGTCAACTACCTTCTAACATCTTACATACAAATATGTGTTTCGATGATAACGTATTTTTTAATTGTCTAAAGCTGTTGGTTTTATATAATGGAACACAGACAAAATACCACAGACTACTAACTTTAAACAGCCTTGCCTTACAGATTATTCTGTGATAAGCCAGAACTGTTTGGATGAATAAAAAATACCACATTCCTTTCACATACATTTCAATTATTCCATAATATTTCTTTCATTCTTCTTATACTTCAAAAAATCAAGAATCATGCTATTAAAATCTAGATTAGCATATAATTTATGTCCTACCAATTTGAACAACCTTTCTTAACTCATAATTTTGATAGTTTAATATTTTCAATTTTGGAAAAAATTTGAGACATCAGCATCTCATGTTGTCGACTGAATTCCCTGAACCCACACTTGGATTCAAACAAACCAAATGTTTTAAATATTGTGTTCTATCATTTCAACGGAATCATCTAGAGTAAATTATTATTATAATAATATTCAATATCTTAAAACACCTTTTTTATTATGAACACTATAGCTTACGTCACAGCACCTGCTGCCTTGTGAAGTAAACCAGGCCTTCAACTTTGCTCCTTAAATTCTATTTATATTTCTTTATAATCTAAAAAATACTGGAAATAGCAATATGCTAGCCAGTTTGTTTAAACCTTTGTTCTTCCATGACTATTCCTTCAACAAAATGTTCACAAAACAATCCCCACAAGAAACCAATGTCTGTGCCAGACAAGGTGGCACACGCCTTTAATACTAGCAATTCAGAGGCAGAGACAGGAGTAGCTCCAGGTTGAAGGCCAGCCTGATCTATAGAGCAATCAGGACAGCCAGAGCTACACAGAAAAAAAAAAAAAACCTTGCTCAAAAACAAAAAAGAAAAGAAGGAAGGAAGGGAGAGAGGGGAAGGAAGGAAGGAAGGAAGGAAGGAAGGAAGGAAGGAAGGAAGGAAAGAGAGAAAAGTACTATTTGTGCAGTTCATGTCAAGACCTGATATATAGGTATTTATTATCCAGGGCCATATCTTCTCTTCCCTCTTCCCCAGATGTGTAGTTCCTGGAAGTATGCTCTAGAATTCTAGCCTTATTCTCACCTGTCCTCTGACACATTGTTCATGATGGTTAGAAATTGCAGTCATTTCTATTCCAAAACTGGAGGAATCATGTCCCAGGTACAATGTGCTAACACACAACACCCTCAAACCAATGAAGCTCCAGTTCCCTCTTGCAAGACATGACTGACTACTTTATACACTCTCAGGACACTCTTTTCTTAGATACCTTCATGGCTGGCTTTCCTCCTTACCTAATCCTCTGCTGAGCCCTTGAGGGAATCTTTCCTGATTGCTCTGGCCAAAGAAGCTCCCACATGTCAATCACCAGGTTTTGCTTCCATTAAAGGACGTACTGCTCTCTCATAGCTTCTGCTTCCTCCTTGCTACTATTTCCACTACACAAACTAAAAGGGAGGAGAACGTGTTTGCCTCTAAGCCCCCTAGGCCTAGGGCACTGAGCAAGGACTCAGTAAATATTTATTGGAAAAATGAATGAAAACCTGCACAAGTCCCACACAAATAGTCTTTTGACTGATATTTTTAAACCATGTAAAGCATGGTGCTTATGTTTACTGGAAACATCCTCAGGCAGAGCTAGTTCTAAAGCAAGAGTCTTAATACCTTAATTAGCCCAAGCATTTGAGCAATTTAATTTGTTAAAAAGGAAATGTTTGTCAGGACAGAAAGATGGCTCAGCAGGTAAGGGTGCTTGCCATCAGCCTGATGTCCTGAGCTCAACTCTCAGAACCTGCTAGAGAGATACTGGGAAGAAGAAGGGCTGAGTCTTGGGAGTCACCCACCAGACTCAGAGAAAGTAGGGTGTGTACAAAATGAGATAACAAGCCATGAGCCATGAGATAGCTGGTAAAGGACAGAAATGGGTTGATTTGAAATGTAAGAGCTAGTTAGTAATAAACCTAAGCTATCAGCCGAGCACTTATAAGTAATAATAAATCTCTGGTTATTTGCAAGTGGCTGGTGGGGTAGAGCTGAAAGCACTTATAAGTAATAATAAATCTCTGGTTATTTGCAAGTGGCTGGGGGGGTAGAGCTGCCCAGCAGTCCCTATGAAAAACTCTGCCTACAAGAACCTACATGGTGGAAGAAGAGAATCAACTCCCATAACTTGTTCTCTGTTAATGTGTTCACTAGCACTTTAAAATAGTTAAAAAATGTCCATGCTTCATTTGACAGAACCTGAAGATCCCAATGGAAACCCTGTTCAAGTCTGTATCAGGGTCTCACTCCTGCTCCATGGAAGGGTAGCCCTGCCTGACCTGGTTGTGTTCATTCTAGGGGACACAGAAAAATGTTCCTCAGGTTAAGAATTCAAATCAAACTTCAGATTTTGTGGCAGAGTGTCACCTCTGCCAGCTGATAACTAAAGAGATTTTTGTTTGGTTTGTTGGGCTTTGTGGTGCTGAGGATTAAACTTAGCCTGCCCAGAATGATCAGGACCTCCCCAGTCCTCTTGCTTCATTTTTTTGTTTTGAGATGAGATTTCACAAAGTTAACCAAACTGACCTTGAACTCGCTGGAGTCCAGACTGGCCTTGACATTGCAATTTTCCTACCTAAGCCTCTTAAGAGTTGAGATTATAGACCTATGTCTCCATGTCTGGCTTAAAAGAGTCATTAATCGGTATTTAAGTTGGCAGCACAGTTGACTGGTTCTTTGGGATTTTCATCAAAGTTCAACCAGGATTTCACAAGGATCCATTACTTGCCAAAACAGCTAGAATTTAGACACATGGTGGAAGGCAGGTTTTCACTATTGCTCTCTGTGTTCCCTCTAGTGTGCCCGGCATGATCATGTGCTCAGAAAAGAAGATTCTTGAGCTAATCCATCTGTCTCCTTGTAGTAAAGTATGTATGTATTGAATGTAGAGTTAATGTTGTCATCTTGCTTCTAGCATTGTGGAGAGCTCCCAAAACACATAAGAATCCAGCATCAAATAGCCCTGTACAGCCCAAGCCTCAAGTTCCAGAAGTTGAATGTCCTGGGTTTGAGTAACATCTCTAAGTCAGTATCCTAACTATAACTGTGCTTAACCCTAAATGGGGATCAAATAAGGGAAGCCATTGACTGTTCTAAAAGAGACTTGGAGCACTTCAAAACATCCACTTTAACTATTTCAAGAAACCATCTATTTGCACATTAGCATGTTCTCTGGTAAATCTTAATTAAAATCACCATTCATCCCACTACCTGAGATAATTTCTAGTTAGTTTAATATTAACACAAAGCTGCTTCAAACATACCTGAGAATTTCTATCATCGCATAGGAGAAGAATATTACCAAGAATGTTTTCATTCCTGTTTTTTCCCTAACAACCTCTTTCAAATATTTCTTTTCTGTCTCTCATTTTTCTTGGTTGTTTTCCCATCTCATCTCAATTGCTCACTTTTCTACTATGCTTGACTTCATAGCTTGTGGCTCTGCACTTACTGGGTGAGTCACACTGGAGATTTATCCTCTCCATCTGCCAGATGATAATTACAGTGCTCACCAGTGGCACTGTCCTCCCAATACCCCTTTTTAATCATCAGTCTACTCCATCTGTATTCTATATTAGGTTTGTTAGCATCTCCAAGTCCCAGAATCCTAATTAAAACAGTATTTGTCCTCTAGTTTATGGGGATGGTAAGATAATTAGTCTACTGTTAAAGGCCCAGACCTGGGGCACTCAATAAAATGTTAACTGTAAGTACGATGTAAAATTTTCTACTTAGATATTTCTATATTTTTTGAAAATCTTAGCTAAAAATATCATTTGTTGTACTACAATAAATAACTCCTGTTAGTTTAGCACCATTGTTCCTTTAAAGCCCAACCAGGAGCCTGGCCATCTAGACATTTAGTTTAGTCTAAAGTGACTACCTAACAGAAAGTGGAAGAAGGCAGTGCTTACAAGGAATTGGGGGTTTAACAATAAAAGGTCAGACTCATCCTAAATGATGAAATTATAAAATGTAAGTCTCAGGAACTGTCAGGGGCTATGTCTCCCACTTGTGGAGACAGTGCCAGGGTGAGAGAAACAAAATGATACTTTTGACACTTGCAGAGGAGAAGGGTTGCTGATGGTTCTGATGGTTCCAGGGTTCTTGCTGTTCCAGAAGCCTGGATTTCCCATACAAGATACCCATTTCTTTCCAATATTGAATCTGTGGGTCACAGATAATTTGAATTTGATTTCCATCACTTCAAATGAAAATGGTCACAATATAGAGAGTAACCTCTACTTTCAGAAGTTGTTATAAAAAACCTCTACTTTCAGAAGTTATGAAAAACACAGATAAAAATCAACAATTACCTAGCATATTACCTGGTATGTAATGCTTGCTTTAAAAAGATAGCCATTAATATTCTTCAGGCAGTGCAAATACAAATTCTAAGTCAGTTAATGAACACAACTTTCAAAGCCTGCAAATCTTGTAATTTCAAAATCACTCAGTGGACCCTTTGGTTTGGGATCTTGAATGAACTACAGTGGCAGAAGTGTTCTGAATTAATTTTACCAGAGGCATTGTATGAGTCTAACTGAAAGGCTCTTATACGCTTAAACATCCTTAGAGAATTGTGAATTCCAAGGCCTAGAGTCCACAGTTCCTTCAACATGAGTAATTAAGTATCCCATCCAGGAGAGCAGAGAGAGTGCAGGCTTATCCCATGAAGGTAGGGCCCTACCCACCCCCACCACTACCACCACTGCCTTAATAGTAGAAAGTACACAGAAGAGTAAAAGAAAAACGAGATCTGTATGACATACCTGGAGGGACCCTACACTGACAGTGTCAAAGTGGATGTGTCCATTAGGCTCTGTGACAGCAGGGTTGGCATAGCATGTCACACCGTTGATTGCAGGTAATGGTAACGTTTTGGGTTGGTGGGCTTTTTCTTTAGAACCAAAGTCATTATTCCCGAAGTGGGTATGGTCATTCTACATGTGAATAAAATGAGAAGGTTATAAGAAGAAAGAAGATGACCGTGCAGGTAAGAAAACGGCCCATTGTGTTTTATATCTACTCTATCTACAATGAAATCCCTTTAAAGTGCTAACATTTCTTTTCTAAACAGATTACTATGTACTAGAGTCTGTGATATATATATATATATATATATATATATATATATATATATTCTTATTTGATGAATATAAAGGGAATACAATTATCTATATCTAATATTTTGCATTAAATTGGGGTTAATAGTTCCAAATTCTTTATGTGTCAGGTGTTTGTCTTACACCTGTCAATATATTGATTTTTTTTTATTCTTTTCATATTTGCTAGTATAAGAGTCAGACTGTTCATATCATTCACATTTCTTGCCTTTGTTAGGAAGCCCAGGAAAGCAAGATATCAAATGTCTGCAGTCAAGTCTATTTACCTGTCCATATGTTTTCAGTAGCATCTTAAGTGTTCTTTCAACAAAGAAAAGCATGTAAAATCCACCAAACACAGCAACCGCCTTCTCAACATAATTGTCGATTTTGGGATTAAATCCAAATGCCTAAGAATTGGGGAACAGGGCAATTCAGATAAAACCAATGAGTTTAATTGATTTCTAGAAAACAATACCATAATTTTTTAGTATGCAATTTTCTCCAAAGTTGTAAGTCCACCCTCAAACAAATACTCTGAAACGTGAGTAACCAGACCACATGCAACGCATTGAAACCTTCCTACTAGAAGTTTCCCTGTAAACTAAACCACCAGATCTTACAGGTTCTTCTCTGTACCATCCACAGCAACATCTGCCTTGACTGATTCATGAAGCAGACAAGATGCTAAGTACACATACATAGAAAACTGCAGTCTGCTAAACATATCATGTAAATGCATTCTCATGAAAAATATGCATTGCAATTCTCAATGGTAACTGTATGGCTGTCCTCAAGTCACTTATATCTTTAGATTTTCAGCTTTCTTCTTTCTATTTGAGAGTTTGGGTATTTCTCATAGGCTCTTTCTAAATAAACTAATAAAAATCCATAATCCTAACCCTAACTCTATCCTTATGCCTTGTTTTTTGTATACAGATGAAAAAGTAGAGGGAGCTTTTATTATTTTGTAACTACAGGAGGGCATTCCTGAATACTACTTTTGCTTTACTTGGGGCTAGTCTCACCCTCTTTAAATATGCAGAATATGTGGGAGACATGGCCCCCAGACATATGATTTCTCTCATTGGCCTTTGAGACTTGTTCTCTTCAATGTTCTCTTTCTTTCACTCTTATTTTCCTTCCGTTATTTCTTTTTCTTATATAGCCATAACAGATATTAAATAAAACATGAATGTTATATATTAGGTGAATAATGTGCTATAGTCATTATTCAATAATACACTTTAATCAAAGGAAAAATTAAATTGTTCTGGCTTTTTCTCTTTATTTTTGAAACAGGGTTTCTCTATGAAGCCCTGGCTATCCTGGAACTTGGAGTCCTCGGAGGTTCTCTCACCCTGTCTAAGCACGTCCTCTGACTCTAACATTCCTTGGCAATCAAGACAATCTTTGACACTCGCTGTGGTTCTGCTTTCTCTACCCAAAGCCTTATAAACCAATCAGAAGGTGCTGCAAGGATCATGAAGACTGAAAATGCACAAAGTGCTAAAATGTTTAAAATAAGCAACTATTCACAGAAACACATAGCCCCCCCCCCTTACCTCTGGAATAAGCTGGAAAATGGCATTTGAGAAAAGGGTCCCAATAGCCAACCCCACAAAATAAGTCAAAATCTTGGGGAAGTAAGACTTCTTTATCAGCGGGGTCAAAACCAATCCCAAGAGAGATGCCAAGTTAATAATTGTCACCGACAGGATTCCATAGCTCCAGACTATGGGCAAGGGGGAAAAGAACAAAATTAGTGACAGTCAAGGAGTTAACTGCATTACTGCACATTAAATGTGCAACATTTCTTCTTTAAAGGCTTCAATAAAAACTTCTTCAAAACTAAAATTCTCATTGAAATTTATACAGAAAATTGGGAACATACATACAGTAGACTGAAAATTAGTAGAAATCATGTTTGTAGGGGTTGGGGATATAGGTCAGGTGGTACAACACTTGTTTATCATACGGGAGGTCCTGAGTCCAGTCCCCAGCATTTCATAAACTAAGCATGGGGGTGCATGCCTGTAGTCCCAGCACTTGGGAGGTAGAATTAGGAGGATCACTATTTCAGGGTCATCTTCATCTACACTGAAAGTTTCAAGTCTATCCTGGGCTACAGAAAGGAAAGGAAATAGGAAAGTGTGCTTGTGATTTAAGTTGCCCTATGCTGCGTTACACAAACTCACCTTATGCTATCCAGATGAAGACATGAGTGATGCTGACAACAGAGAGGGGTAGTTCATTCTTCATTCATACACCAAAGAGGTCCTCAAGAAATGTTACTTGGAAAGCGATGAGCAAACGCTATCCTAGTTTGATAGTTCGCTCTACATGCTGCCCACCATCTTAACTATAGAGGGTTGGCTTAAGAACTGAATGGAAACTGAAGTGAAGTGTGGCCAGAATAGTGCATGGTATCCACGGCAACTGGAACCAAGTCACATGTGGCACAGAGAACTGTGTGGAAATGAGAAAGCTGCCTCTGCATTGCCAATTTTTAAACACCCACAAGAAAACACTTTTAAATACATGCTTTGTATTCTCGCTGGCCCAGTCAGCACACAAGTAATACCCAGGGCACAGCAAGCATCTGCCACGTGCCAGGCACTATGCAAAGTCATCAAAGTCTTGTATGCCATCGAATCCACAAAGTCTTGCAAGGTAGATACCACTACCTTCACCACACAGTTGAGGAAGAACATACAGAGCTCCCCTAAGTCCAAGTGACACAGATAGAACTCTGAATTTAGGGGCTAGAGAGGTGACTCATAGGTTAAAAGCAATTACTGTTCCTGTAGAGGGCAAGTGCTCAATTGCCAGCACCCACACTGGGGAAATCAACCGCCCTCTTCTGGCCTCTGTGGGTACTGCACACATATGGTTCACATTCAGACAGGCAGACACAGACATAATTTTTTTAAATACTTTGAATATAAATATGAGGGAAAGACAAATGGAGCTGTGGAGATGGATCAGCAATGAGGAGCACTTGCTGCCCTTGTGAAGGATGCTGGGTTGGTTCCCAGAACCCACATGGTGGCTCTCAACTATCTGTAGTTCAGTTTCGTTTCAGGTCATCCAATGTTCTTTTCTGGCTTCCAAGGGTACCAGACATGTACACATACATACATGCATGCATACATACATACATACATACATACATACATACATACATACATACATACATACATACATACTACAGGTACAGTTTTTATAAAAGTAAAATAAATAACACTGTTCCTAGACTATAACAAGCCTTCAATATATGCTGTTAATAGTTATTTTAAAAAAATACTAAGAAGACTACTTACTTTGTTTAGTTTACTGTTACAAAGTAAAAAGAACAGGCTTAGTTAAAAGCCTTGGGCTCTCCTTCTGCCTCAGGTATCTCGCCTATGGGAAACTGCTTTGAGGGACTAGCAGTCAGACAGATTCCCACTAGCCAGATAGACAGAGAAAAGAGATTCTGGATAGACTGGTATGCTTCTCACTTAAACATTTAGGATGACAGACTACACAGTTCTTCTCCCTCTCTAAGACAAAGACTTGGTGGGCTTTGCCTCCACCCAGCCAGCCACATGCTAGAGGAAACTGTTCATTACAACTTTAAACCTAGGTAGAGGTGTCCTGGATCAGGAAATAATTAGCTCCACCCCTTTTTCTGAACTGTCCAGTCCCCTGAGATAGCCCAATCCAGCCAATTCTGAGAGACAAAGGGAACCCACACTACCCATGAGCAAAAAGTATTTGGTTCTGCCAGACAAATTCAGATTACAGATCCCCTCCCCACTGGATGCATTTGTCTCTTTGTGTGTTCTGTGTGGTGTGTGTTTGGGGGTGGGGTGAGTGTATGGTGTAAATGTGGTGTGTGTGGTGTGTGCATGTCTATGCATGTGTGGGGTGTGTGTGTGTGTGTGTGTGTGTGTGTGTGTGTGTGTGTGGTGTGTATGTATGTGGTATATGTGGGGTGTGTGGTGTGTGTATGTGTGAGATTTGTATGGTGTGTGTGTGTGTGTGTGTGTGTGTATATGTGTGTGTGTGTGTGTGGTATATGATGTATATGTGTGTGTGGTGTGTGGAATGTGTGTGTGCGTATGTGTATGTGGTGTGTGTGTATATGAGTGGTGTAGTATGTGTATTTGTGGTGTGTGTGTGGGTGTGGTGTGTTGTGTGTTGGGTGTGTGTGTGTGTGTGTGTGTGTGTGTGTGTGTGTGTGTGGTGTGTGTATGTGTAGTGTGGTATATGTGTATGGTATGTGTGGTGGGTGTGAGTGTGTGTGTGGTGGGTGTGGTCTATGTGGTGTGTGTGTGATATGTGTGAGCATCTGTGTGTTCGGTGTATGTGTGTTTGCATGTGTGATGTGTGTGGTCTATGTGGTGTCTGTGTGTGGTGTATATGTATATGTGTGTGGTATGTGTGGTATGTATGTGCGTGTATATGTGACATGCTTACAACAAAACATGACCAGGTGTTGAGATCTTTATTTTCTTGTTTTCTTTTTCTCCAAATCAGCAGACAAAAGGAATATTCCTGCAGTCCTAAACAAACTCACTGTGAAGCATCGATTCTCCCCTCCAAGCTCACAATTCCATCACTGGTTGTGTTATGTTGGGCAGAATGTTCTTCAAGGATGCTCTAAGTAAGACTCTATGATTCCTATATATTATTCAGATTAAATAGTACTCTGTGAACTCATCCAAAAGTGAGGCAATTTTGAACCTTTAAGTTACTACTGAGATAGATTAATTCCTCTCCTAAAGAAGTTTATTTATCATCAGTTTACTACATATATCATGTGCTTTATAAGGCAAAGGAAAGGCAACCCCAAAAAAATGACAAAACATAAGATCTCTGAAAACTGAGACCATTTTATCTTCCCACCAAAATGTCAATATAAATAAACATGTTCAGACGTTATTGTATGATGGCTCCCTTTGGATCAAAAATTAATTTGATTTTTTTAGTCCCTTGAATAACCTTGAATTCAACTCACAAGCAGTGAAAAGTTATATTCAAAATCTGATACATTTGGTTATTTTTAATTTCCTTGTGAGAAAGTAATATTACATAGGGCTGGGGAGTACTGTGTCCCTATGGACACTTTCGTAAGAAGCTGGGGACAGATTTGTAGATAAGAACATTTGCTGCACAGCCACGAAGATCTGAGTTCAGGTCCCCAGAAACCATAGTAAAAGCTTGTGTGTCTACACACTCCTATAATACCGGTGTTTCAAGAAACAAAACAGGGGAATTGCTGGGGCTTGATGGCCATCAGCCTAATTTTTGGTTCAGTGAGAGCTCCTACCTCAAGAGAGTAAGTGAAGAGCAATAGAGCAGGTCACAGGACAGCTGACCCCCAAAAGCACACACAAGGGCACTCCAACCCATACATGTGTGTAGTCTTCACATATACACCCAGACACACATGGAAACATGTGCACCCACAGAAAGATCAAATACAATCCTATCAAGCTGTACCAAGCACCGTTCTGTCACAAACACTCATTGGTTCATTTTGGTGCTACCCACACAGAATTCTACAATAAAGGAGTCATGATTTATTACACCCACCTTACAAATGAAGGGACTCAGGAAGAAAGACACTGAATAATTGCTCAAGACCACATAACTGCACTAAACTAAAACTGTTAAGGATCACATCAAATGACAATGCATTGCCAAACTAAACAGATTAGCAGAGTCAAGCACTCTACTCTCTTTGTTAGATTCTCTGTCCAAATATTTGGTGCTTTTCTGATCTTGTAACTGGGAACTGTTGACTTTTCTGCTTTATGACTTTGTGGTGTTGACCCTAGAATTCTCCCTCAGTTCCTGCTTCCTCTTCTCCTGTTCTCACCTGCAGGTTCCACCTGACATAGAGTAACCTCCACAGCGGAAGTTCAAAAACCTCTCTCCTTCTCTCTCTCCCTCTTCCTCCCTCCTCCCCCTCTCTCTTCATCCCTCATTTGCTCTCTCACTCTCACTCTGGTTTTCTGGCACAGTCCTCCTCTGTCCCCCAGACTGGCCTTGAACTCACAGTGCTCTTCCTGCCTCAGACTCTGAAGTGTTAGGATTACAGGCCTGGACCACCACACCCAGTTTCAGAAATACTTTTGAATCCAGTAGCTTTCTTTTGCTAGTGTTGCTTCCCGAAACCATGGGCTTTATGCAACACTGAAACCAATATTGTTCTGGGTACTTTATGAATCTTGTTATTTAATACTTACAGCAATTTATAGAAAGGGACTAGACTAGATCAGGTAAAAAGAAGTCAAAGCATGTTCCCAAAATGGCCAGAGAATTGTAGAGTTGAGCTTTTAAGTCTGTGCCTTTATTAGTATGTATTGCTAGTAAATGTTAGTATCTTAAAACTTCTGTTGCATTTATTTTCAATTGTAAAGTACAAAGCATCAAAATGCAATAAGATTATAGAAATATAAACATTCTCTAGAGAACATTTGTAATTCTGGCATCTTCTATCATCTACAGATGTTAAAAGGTTGGGCTGGAGAGATGGCTCAGCCATTAAAGGCTAGGCTCACAACCAAAAATAAAAAAAGGCAGTAACTTCATGCTTTAAGTTGTTCATCTAAAAGCCCATTAGTTTTCTTGTACCTTCTATCACAACTACAAATTGGCAACTTTCAAAATAACATGTTAGGCAAAAGGTGACAGAAACTTGACTAATCAATCAAGCCAAGTAATACACAACCAGGAATCGCAGCATACGGTTTAAAATCAAGAAGTGGCCACATATAGATACATAAAATTATGTTGATGACATGAACATAGAAATAAACCCCTCTAGAGCAGTGGTTCTCAACCTGTGGGTCTCGACCCCCCCTCACAGTTGCGTATCAGATATCCTGCATGTCACATATTGTCGTTACCATTCATACCGGTAGCAACATTACAGTTAGGAAGTGGCAACGAAATAACGTTATGGTTGGTCACCACAACATGAGGACCCGTATTAAAGGGTCACAGCATTAAGACTGTTGGGAACTGTTGTTCTAGAGGAACAATGAGGACCATTTGTCAGGGGAATGTGAGAAGGGGGTAAGGGAGGGCAGATGTGGTCAATGTACAATATGTATTTGTATGAAAAAGTCAATGTGTGACAGAGCACAATGCTCAGTGAATATACACAATAAAACTAAATAAAAGAGTAAAAAGAAATAATTGGATTTAGGAGTCTTAAAGTATACTCTTAAAGGATAGTCTTGATCCCACAAGCAAAAAAGTGTTGCTTACACAGCTTATATGAGTTCCCATTTTTTTTTATCTAAATACTGGCTGAGTCTTACTTTACCAGGTCTCTTACAAATTAATTAAAAGCAATAAAGGAGAAAGGGATTCGTGAGAGCCTTATCTCCGGCTGCCTCTCAGACTTTCCGAGGGAGTGAGAAGGCAGCTTCTGGGTACCTTCGGAAATGCTTGGCTTTGCACTGTGCTTCGGCTGATCCTCGCAGGGATGAAAGTTCAGCTGCTGTAAGATCGCAGGGCAGATAGCCGAGAAGTTCGAGCTGGTTATCTGGGTAGCATTCGAGAAGCCATGAAGAGAAAAGATGTCTTCTGCGGACAAACACTGAAACAGGGGAAACACAGGAACACCGTCAGTGATGTAGTCAGCACACGTGGGTGAACATTAAGCCTTAGAGTCTAAGGAGGCAGACAATATTCCATCCGAGGATAGGCACTGATTCTACGCCAGAGCCCACTATAGAAATGAAGAAGACAAAACAACAGCCCACAGATTGAGAAAAGATATTCACCAAACCGACATCTGACAGAGGCCTGATCTCCAAAATTTACAAAGAACTCAAGAAGCTAGTCTCCAAAACACCAAATAAGCCAATTAAAAAGTGGGGTACAGAACTAAATAGAAAATTCTGAATAGAAGAGTCTAAAATGGCTGAAAGACACTTAACGTGCTCAGCATCCTTAGCCATCAGGGAAATGCAAATCAAAACAACTCTGAGATACCATCCTGTCAGAATGGCTAAAATCATAAACACCAATGACAGTTTATGCTGGAGAGGATGTGTAGAAAGGGGAACACTTCTCCACTGCTGGTGGGAGTGCCAACTGTACAGCTATTTTGGGAATCAGTATAAAGATTCCTCAGGAAAATGGGAATCAGTCTACCACAAGATCCAGCAATTCCACTCTTAGGCATATACCCAAAAGAAACACATTCATAAAACAAGGGCATCTGTTCAACTATGTTCATAGAAGCATGATTTGTAATAGCCAGAACCTGGAAGCAACCTAGATGCCCCTCAACTGAAGAATGGATAGAGAAAATGTGGTACCTTTACACAATAGAGTACTACTCATTGGGAAACAAAAATGGAATCTTGAAATTCGAAGGCAAATGGATGGCACTGGAAGAAACCATCCTGATTGAGGTAACCCAGTCACAAAAAGATAAACATGGTATGTACTCACTTATATATGGATTTTAGACATGGAGCATGGGATTGTCAGCCTACAATCCACACCGCCAGAGAGACTGGGAAACAGGGAGGACCCTACGAGAGACATTAATGATACCCCAGAGAAGGGGAAGGGGACAAGATCTCCTGAGCAGATTAGGAGCATGAGGGAAGGGGAGAGGGAGTTAGGAGAAAGAGGAGGGACAAAAGAAGGGGAGAGGAAGACATGGGGGAGCAGGAAGGTTGAGTTGGGGGAAGAATAGAGGAGAGCAGGATGAGAAATACCATATTAGAGGGAGCCATTATAGATTTGAGGAGAGATCTGGCACTAGGGAGATTTCCAGAGATCTACAAGAATGACACCAACTGGCAATCTAAACAATAGTGGAGAGGCTACCTTAAATGCCTTCCCTGATAATGAGATTGATGGCTACCTTATATGCCACCCTAGAGCCTTCATCCAGTGGCTGATGGAAGCAGAGGCAGAGACCCACAGCTAAACACTAAACTGAACTCCTGGATCCCAGTTGCATAAAGGGAGGAGTGATGAGCAAAGGGGCCAAGACCAGGCTGGTGAAAGCCACAGAAACAGATGACCTGAACAAGGGGGAGCTCATGGACCCCAGACTCATGGCTGGGAGGCCAGCATGGGACTGATCTAGACCCCCTGATCATGGAACATGGGTGTCAGTGAGGAGGCCTCAGCAATCTATGTGGTCTTGGGTAGTAGATCAGTATTTATCCCTGGCCTATGAATGGACTTTGGGAGCCCATTCCATGTAGAGGGATGCTCTTTCAGCCTGGATACATGGGGGAGGGCGTAGGCCCTGCCAGGGATGATATGACAGACTTTTGGGATCCCCCATGTAGGGCCTCACCATCCCTGGGGATCAAGGAGATTGGGGTGGGGAGTTGGTGGGGAGTGAGATAGGAGGGGAGGAAGAGGGAGCTGGGATTGACATGTGAAGCAGGCTTGTTTCTAATTTAAATAAAATTTTTTTAAAAACTGTGTATTCATCTACATAGCAATAATAGTTGCAATATGTAAAGTGTTTCATAATATATCAACATAAACTATTGTTTACTAAAATATGTATTATTCTAAATGGTGATAAGTAGCTCTTCTATATTATGGAGAGTTTTAGAGATAGTGCTGGGCCATTTAGGAATTCATTAACTTTTTAATGAGGCAAAGAATCTGTGTTAGAAAAAGAAATCTCTGCAAAAATAATTTTTAAAGGACCATTTACTTTCAAGTGAATTTTCACTGTAAACTATATCCTAAATGCTTGCATTGCTAAGAAGATAACAAAACAGATTAAACATTAATAAATTAATGCTATAAAATTAGAAAGTTTGGGAAAACCCATCCACTCAAACAGAAGCACATCTTTAATAAAATCAACTGAGAAAAGTTTTTTGTCCATTTCAGCCAGTTCTCCAACCCCATTAAAATCTTAAGCTTTGTTCTATAAACTGAACTGTATTCCTCAAAATTTGTGTCAGATCCCTAACCCACAGCATGATAATTTAAGGAGATAGTCTCATGTAAATAATTAGGTTTAGAAGAGGCCTTGCAGGGAAGGACCCTGGTTCAAGAGGATGAGTGCCCTGTGAGAAGGGACACTAGAGAGGGCACAGTTGGAAGGAAGCCATCTATCTATGAGCCACGGAAAAGGCCCCCTCACGTTCTAGCACTCTGACCTTAGGCTTTCAGTCCCTAGAACTATTAGAAAACAAATTTTTATTGGTTAAGGTGCTTCATATTGTTATGGCAGCCTGGCCTGAAGAAAGTACCATGGATGGTGTTGAGAATCTCAAGGTTGACGTAGGGGATGGAGAGATGGTTCAGCAGTTAAGAGCATACTATGCTCTTGTGGAGGGCCCAGGTTCGGTTCCCAGCACAGGGCTACTCACAGCCACCTGTAACTCTAGTCTTCAGACACTCTGATATCAGTGGGTTGCTATTTGCTCATCTTAGCCACAGTAAGCTGAGTTGGAGCACCTCATGTACACAACCAAAAAAAAGGTAGTCATGAAGGTAAAGGGGGCTTAGATGGCATTAAACTCAAAGCCCCCAAATTATACTCAAAATCATTCCAGCAAATGGTTCTCATGCATCTCAGTTTCTGTGCCCCTACCCCTTCCTCATCGCTATCAAATTTCTCTGCTTCATTTCTAGAAGTCTTTGTGCAATGCTGGGGACTAGTGTAAGGAAAGGATGAGGGAAAGATTATAAGTTCCTCCCTTTGCATTTTATACAACTGAAATCTGTGTAATAAATTATTACTATCATAATTACTCATATTCAATGAATCCCAAGGCATGTTGCAAGACGTGAAGCAGTAGCCATCCGATACTCAGATTCTTTTCTTGGTTAAATTTCAGCCTGACCTCAGGTCTCAACAAAACCTTGACAGTCATTGTTACAGAGCTTGCATCGCCACTCTATCAAAGACCTTGTGAAGTTATTTACAGAGAATGCTCCACTCCTAATGGCTGTTTGCTTTCAAGCCAAACTCCTCTTTTTATCCCCAACCTTAGTCCCCATCACACTCACCTTCCTTTCGGGAAGATTCTGTTGTTTAATCAAAATACTCCCCGTACTTGTGTTTCCTCTTGGTAAACTTCTACCCATAGACGCCTCCCACCCTTAGCTCGTTGTGTGCTCCAAGCTATTTGGAGGGACTCCAGTTTGATGCTTTCCCCTGTAACGGGTAATTCTGAGTGGACGTCACTGGCCACTGAACATCCAGATTGCACTGGGCATGTCGGTGAGGGTGTTTTCAGGTGAGATGGGAATGGGACTCAGTGACCTCAGTAAGGAAGTCTCCCTTCCTGAGACGAGAGAGCATCAACCAAATTATGGAAAGCTGGACCAGAACAAAAGGCTGATGAAGGGAGAATTCATTCATTTTCCCACCTCACATATTCTTTTCTCGGGGCTCTAGTCTGGAATTTACACCATCAACACCCTGACCCTCAGGTCATTAGACTCAATCACAACAGTGATCCAGCTTGCCGATGGTAGATCCTAGAACCTGAAAATCCCTAGCAAGGTCCTTTCCAATCCCACTCCCTGTCTCCCCCACCACTCCCTCCACCTTCTATTCTCTTTCATTCTCCCTCCTTCCATCTCAGTCTCTCTCAGTCTCTCTCTCTCTCTCTCTCTCTCTCTCTCTCTCTCTCTCTCTCTCTCACTCTCCTTTATGCCCTCCAGCCTTTCTCTGTTTCTCTCTAATAAATATAAAAAGGTATGGCAAGTAAAGACCTAGCCATCTTTAGATCCTACTGATTCTGTTTTTCTGGAAAGCCCTGGTTAATGCACCTGACTGCAATGTGAACTACAACAGCGTAGCTGTCATGCTTGACCATTGTTAAAGAAATCACAGTGTTTGAAGTAGTAAAAAGAGATTCTGACTTACATTGTCAGACCTGTGGTTTTCTTCAACAGTGATCAAGGAAGACAGCCAAGCCATTGCAGTACATTGCATTGATTATTCCCTTCGTTATATAAATATTTGGTGAAATATAAAAGTCTGATAAGAATATTGATGAGTTAAGTGAAAGCTGGAAGATGACAATCAGGGAAGAAATAGAATAGGAATAATAAATGATAGCACCACCTTCAATCAAGAGACCTCAACAACTGTGGCAGGGGGGGGAACCACACACACACCAAGAACTATAAAAGCATAGTAAAATTCATAAATCCCAAAGAGATGTGATAAAAAAAAAAAACTAAGAAAGCTTTGTGTGAGGGAGAAATGTTATGCAGAAGAAATCATGAAAAAATGCTTGGAGAATAGAACTCCAGAAATGCAAAGAAGGTGTTGGTCTAGGTATGACACTGGGCATGGGGTGGCGGGTTCCATTTTAGGCGTCTGAGCTCACAATACTAGCAGGACGTCAGAGGGAGATGAATGGCAAGCTTTCTCTGAGAAGCACAGAAGGCAGAGATAAGGCTGTGGCTGTCATCTGTAGAGCAGTGATAGGGGGTGGATGTAGGCGAGGTGATCAGGAGAAAGCTATACAGAAAAGAGCGAACGCCTTGGGAATACAGACAGCAATCTTAGAAAAGTGGGAAGGACACCCAAGAATGATGATGCCTGTGTATCATCTCAGTATTCAGGAAGCTGGGGCAACAGAATCATGACTTAGTTAAAGGCCAGCCTGGGCTAAAGGGTGAGACTGTCTCAAAAAAAAAAAA